GACACCCCCCAACGCAAACGCTGATTTGGCTCTGGTGAGCTTCTAGACACGACTTTCACAAAGCCTGTTTCCTGTAACACCATGACATCCCGACGTCGAGAATAGAAACGATGAGAAGGCCCTCCGGCCGAAGACACCCCCCAACGCAAACGTTAATTTGGTTCTCGCAAGCTTGTAGACATGACTTTCACAAGGCGTGTTTATAGCAACAAACCTGAGTGCAGAAGTGTTTGGATGTGGGCTGGCTTTGGTTTGGCTGGCTCTGGTTTGGTTCGTTTTGAGTAGTGTTTGGGTGGTCTTGGGGTGGGCATGTCTGCACACAAGTGCGTACAGCTGAACAATGCTACACCCTAAACCCTAAACCCTAAACCCTAAACCCTAGACCCTAGACCCTAGACCCTAGACCCTAAACCCAAACCCTAAACCCTAAACCCTGAACCCTACAACCTTGTTGCAAGCTGCCGCTGCCAGGTCCAGTCGCGGCTGCATGGGAACGACCAAGAGCCCTTCTGCCGGGCTGCTGCCTCAGAACTCATGTTGCCGTTTCTGGGACCCAGAGGAGGCCCTTGTTCCCCTTTTGTTGGGGTTTAGGGTTCAGGGTTCAGGGTTTAGGGTTTAGGGTTTAGGGTTTAGGGTTTAGGGTTTAGGATTTAGGGTTTAGGGTTTAGGGTTTAGGGCTACTAGGACAGAGTAGGCCCTTATTCCCTTTTTTTTGGGATTATATAGGCTCCCCAACAAGCCTTTTCAAGCCAGAAAGGCACCCCTTGTTTTCATACTAAGCTACTCATGGGCCGATCAGAGGTCATTCGCCGCCAAGCCCCCCAAATCGCATGCAAGCCCTAGACCCCTGGACCCCTAGACCCCTAGACCCCTAGACCCCTAGACCCCTAGACCCCTAGACCCCTAGACCCCTAGACCCCTAGACCCCTAGACCCCTAGACCCCTAGACCCCAAACCCCAAACCCCAAACCCCAAACCCCAAACCCCAAACCCCAAGCCCCAAACCCCAAACCCTAAACCCCAAACCCTAAGCCCCAAGCCCCAAACCCTAAACCCTGAACCCCAAACCCTAAACCCTAAACCCTAAACCCTAAACCCTAAACCCTAAACCCTAAACCCTAAACCCTAAACCCTAAACCCTAAACCCTAAACCCACAGCCGAGGACCAAGGACCCAACCCGGAGCACTTCTCTGAGCAGAAGGTGCCGCAGCACAAGCGAAGAACTTCCAGATACCTACCTGCTAGGGTTTTAGGGTTTAGGGTTTGGGGATTGGGGTTTAGGGTTTAGGGTTTAGGGTTTTAGGGTTTTGGGGTTTTGGGGTTTTGGGGTTTTGGGGTTTTGGGGTTTTGGGGCTAGGGCTGAGGGTCTCCAAGATTCCGGTCTATGGCTTTTCACTGGGATGAACGGAAGGCCGCCTTTCAGCCCCAAACCCACAAAGACTGTCAAGGTGCTGCTTGTGAGCACCAGGTGATGGTTTCAACATGGGGGGCGGGGGCGGGTTTAGGGTAACTACCCTGTTTTGGGGTTCCGACAAGAGCTGTAGTATGTATATATGTTTAGGGCATATGAGGGAGCTTCCAGATCTTGGGTAAATACCCATAAAGAGTCAGCAACCACGTGCATTCCCCGGCTCCAAATGGCATGTCGCGTTCTTACAACCTATACTTATCAACCCTAAACCCTAAACCCCAAACCCTAAACCCTAAACCCTAAACCCTAAACCCTAAACCCCAAACCCTAAACCCTGGCGGGTCCACAACAGACCCGCGCAAAACTGTGGCCCCACCAGCAAACCTGAGATGCAGGACTTAGGTCACCGCCTTTAGTGTTGAGAAATGACGCCTTTCTGCTCCCCAGTGCGCCTAGAAGCAAGAACTTCCAGCCATTTCTACCCAGAAGAAGGTTTAACCTTCTCGAACGGATTAGACGATGTAAACCATGGACGTCATCATGCTTGGGCCATGGATGCTCTCTTCTCATCAGAGCAGAATAGACCATGGACGGCATGATGCTTGGACCCTGGATGCTCTCTTCCCAGAACGGAGAAGACCATGGACGTCATCATGCTTGGGCAATGGATGCTCTCTTCTCATCAGAACAGAGTAGACCATGGACGTCATCATGGTTGGGCCATGATGCTCTCTTCTATATCTATGGTGAAGCAAACGTGTTATTTAGACCCAGGGCTGGGCAGAAGCGGATGCAAGCAAGACAGGGCTTAGTTTAGGACACGTCGAAAGTGCGAAGTAGTGCACAAAACCCCACAAATACCAGTGCAGTCTACGGATGCCCAAAAATTGCAGGATAATTTTGGAAAAAAAACTGCGGGGATGAGGTGATGGGCAAAACCCAGGAAATATCGGTATTTACAGGGGATTCTGAGGGCAACAGAGCTAAACTGCCGAAAACCCGTGGGTCTGTTATGGCCCCGCCTAGCCCTAAACCCTAAACCCTGAACCCTGGACCCTGAATCCTGAACCCTGAACCCTGAACCCTAA